CGTAAGTGAGAAAGAATTCTTGTAAGCCACTGACATGTAGAAGCTGTTGTTGCCGAGATTTTGCATACTCTCAATGTCTCTCTCTAATATATATATATGGTGTGTATACAATACACACAAATAAACACACCTAACTTTTTTCTTAACCATTTGAGGGTAAGTTACATACATCATGGCTCTTTAACCTTAAACCCTTCAGTATTTCCTAAGCAGAAGGACACTCTCTTACATACCATACCCCAATTACCGAATTTAGGAAATTTAACATTGATTCAAAACTCTAATCTACTATTATATTCCAATTTTGTCTATTGACATAATTTTATCCTTTATAGTATTTTCCTATCCCAGTGCAGGATCCAGTCTAGGGTCAAGACTGTATTTAGTTTTCATAGCTGTTTAGCTTTTTAATCTGGAACTTTTTGTCATCTTTCTTCGATATTTTCAGAGCACGGACATTTCTGAAAAATACAACTCCACAAACACACACACACACCCCACGCCCCACACACCTTAAAAAAAAAATAAAACTGTCCTTCATTTCAGGCGTGTCTAATTTTTCCTCGTGGCCAGATTCAGGTTATACATTCAGGCTATACAAGGTGCTGTTTTGTCCTTTTTGAGGCCTCACATTTGGAGTCACACACACCCATCTGATACCAATTTTTAGCACCCGTGAGAGTTGTCTGATCTCACTACTGTGTATTTACTACTTTTCCCCCTTACGATTAATAAGCAGTCTCTAAGCAGCGACTTTAAAACCATGTTAATATGTAAATATTCTGCTCTTCATCAAAATTTTCCCCTAGATTTAGCATCTGATGATTCTAGTCTGATTCAGTCTAGTAATCACTCTGTTTAGTAAAAAACAGATGCAAACTGCTGATTTGCCCAATCTGGCAGCCCCTCTGTAGTTAACCAGTCAGCACTCAACTGACTACCACAAGCAAAGAGCCCTCCTTTCTTCTCATCATCTATGTATTGCACTAATGATACGGCCTCATGAATTACTTATTTTTCAGTGGTTTGCAATTCATTACTGTATTTAATTATCTTGGTCTCAAGTACTTCCAGATTTGGCCAGTGGGAGCCCCTTCTAGCCGGTGTCTGGTAACACGCTCCCTTCATTTTGCATACTTCCTTATATTTTCTGGTGTAACACGTGCCAGGCTCATCTTGTACTTTTGAAACAGCAGCAGTGCAATAGCAAGCTTTCGGATTTTTGCTAATCCGATGGCATAGTTGTTTTTTAAAAACGGTTGTGTAGAATTTACTTACAGTGAAACTTACTTATCTTAGGCATATAGTTTCATAACTTTGCTTCACCCAAGGTCACAAAAGCTTCTTCTAGAATTTAACAGTTTTAGTTCTTACGTTTAAATTGACAATCCATTCAGAGTTAGCTTTTGAGTATGATATGAGGTAGGGGTTGAGATTCAATTTTTTCTCACATTAACTATTCTCTACTATTGTCATCATGCATTGTAACTAGCATCTTTCCCCACGGACCTGTGTGTGAACTTTTTCCAAATATCAAGTGACCATAAGTGTGAGACAATCTCCACTGGTGTAGAATGAATGCTATTAGCTCCAGGCGATTATTTGTGTATATCTTGCTAGCTTGTAAATTTTTCATGAAGTTTTATCATTGACTCTCTTGGGTGTTATGAATTACCATTATGTCATCTGCAAACAGATAGTTTTATTTTTCTTTTCTAATTCATGTGCCCCTACCTTGTTTTTCTAGTCTAACTGCATTTTCTTTTTCTTTTCTTTCTTTTTTTTTGTGCTATTTTTATCAGGCCTAGGCATCAAATATTAAACTTGCTTTAAGTAAAGAATTTGGAAATTTCTATAATTATTTTGTACTCTGCAGCCATTTAGGCAGTTTGTGGATTGACTGTCAAAGGTTTGGTTAAATTCCCATTGAAACCACCTGGCCTGGTCCTTTTCTGTAGGGTAGTTTCTTGCTAGCTTTTCTTATTCTATGGATATAGGTCTGTTGAGCTTTCTATCTCTACCTAGGTCAGTTCTGGGAAAGTGTATGTTCCCGAGAAAACCTTTTTCATTTAATAAGTGTGTTAATCCCATACATATTAATTAGGATGACTACTATGCTCCATCTCAATGGTCATAATGTTCTTTTTTGTTGTTGAAATTATTGAGTACCTTACATTTACTGGATTTCTTTCTCTCATGTGTCCCTTTTGCTTTTTTAAAAATATTCTTTTGGTATTTAGGGAGGTTTGTATTTTCATTCTATAGGTTACATTTGTATTATTATGTTTTTAAGTTATTTGAACATTGCTTTTCATGGTGACTGAAATTCTCTCTACTTTTACCTAATCTTTCACTGTCTGATGTCAGTTTCACGTGGTATGCATTGACCAATACCTTTTACTTAAGAAGATAATGATCATATTCTGTTCTCTCCCTTTTTCTCTGTCACCCTCTCATTTTTTAAATAAATTGCATCTTTTGATTTCTGCCAGACGTGTAATGTTTTCACACTGTTCTTTTACCCATGAACTTACCCTCATTTTAGTCTAAGCTGTAAAACAACAGATGTAAAATGCTTACTGTTTGGAAGTTCTTGCCAAAGTTAGTGCAGTTATTTTTTTGGTCCGATGAGACTCATCCTCCCTTGGAGTCCTCAAGAACACTACGTGGATGTGCACAGTACTCCAAAGTGCTTTTCCATTGCCTTGACATCTGAGTGTCAGCTTGGTCATGTACAATGTATTTGGCTTACACTTTTTTCCTTTAGTTTCTTGAAAATGTTGCTCCACTACTGTCTTACTTTACATGTTTTGTTGACAAGGCTGATGCTGACCTTTATAAGTTATTTGATCTTTCAACTCGGAAACCTGTGCATACTTTTCTCTATTTTTAAAGTCTAAGAGTTTTACTGAGTATGTCCCTAGAGTTGATCTGTCCAGGTCAAATTTCCCCAGTGCACAAACAGATTCAGGTCTTCTTTTAGTATTGAAAAGCTTTCTTAGATTATAGTCCTAAATATTAGTGCAGTTAAGGTGCTTTTATTTTCTCCAAAGAAACTCTTTTTTTCTTTCATTCTCATTTTTCCTGGCAATTTTTCCAGTTTTCTTCAATGCCTTTTCATTTGACTGCATTCTTTCTTGGGCAATTTGTAATTAAGTTTTGTTTTCTAATTTGATTTTGTCTTTTCCTTCTCTTTCTTTCCTAAGTTTTATCAAGTCTCATTTCATTTCTTCCAGTTTTTGGGCCATTTCTCTTCTTAGTTTTTTTAATTTCTAATTCTTAATGTCTAATGCTTGCTTGAGGACACTTAAATTGGTCATACCACACTGTGGTAGTACAGTTTTTGACAACTCTGTTGTTGAAATGTTTTGAAGAGGAACACATTTAATTCATATTATTGAGGAAAGCTTTATTTCATATTGTCTGATTTTTACAGTTGTTTTGTAATGATGGGGACAGATATATTTTTTTTTCTATTCCCTTTTCTTTCATAGAAAGAGTTCTCAGTTCAACAGCACCCTCTTCTGTGCAACTTCTTTTATGGATCTTGTTGATGGCTATGGAGTGGATAGATGAAGGAGGTTTGGTAAATCTTGTTTCTCTTTGTTTATGCTAGATCCTTAATTTTCCCCTTTTATGCCCTCCTTTCTCTTCCTCTTTCTCTCTTTCTTAATTTTTATAAAGGTTTATTTGAGCCAAACATTGCCAAGAAGTGAGATATCAAATCTGGAGGAATACACACACACGCAAATGTTTTTCAAAGATTCCTTTCTGTATTTCTAGTCATTTTCGCCCCCACTGATGCAACTGACCAGTCTTTCTGTGTAACGTGTTCACACAGGCCAGTTCTGGTGAGCGTTACTCAATGTCCTTCTTTGTCTTCACGCCCTAGTCCCCAAGGGATACCGCCCCTTCTCTATTTATTTGCTTCTCCCCCAGAAGCAATGACTCTCAAGGCTGCCACCACTGGTTGCACACACTTTCTCTCAGGTCCCAAGACCCACCAAATCTCATGACCTTGTTCAGTATTTTGGCATTAATTGTCCGTTTTCTCTTTCTGGCAGAGAGTTTATTTGTGCTTCATCTACTTGCTGTGCTTCTCCTAATTCTTTTTCAGTTTTGAAGCCTTACCTCCTCTGCTCTTTGTACTTCAGGTTTCAGTGGCAGGCAAACTGCAGGACTTTAAAAAAAATTTTTTTATATGTACGTTGAAGGCTGTGGTGTTCCCTGTCACACAGTCACATTGAAGTTATGGGTCCTGTACGATTTTATTTACACTTCGGTTTTATGTTTTCTGGGAGGGTTACATTGGAGAAATTCAAAACCACATGACTGCCACTGATCTCTAACAATGTTCCCTTAACTTCCTCATCATTCTGTTCTTTGCTTGTTGCCTGTGTATGTATTTTATGGTATCATTTGTAGCTGTTGTAAGCTACCTAAAAGTCTTTGAAGAATTTTTAACTTTAAAATAAATTTTTACTTTTTATTATTATTTTTTTTAAGTTTTATTGTTATTCTATTACAGCTTTCCCAATTTCCCCCCTTTGCCTCCTCTGCCCAGCCCACCCCCCACTCCCACAGTCAATTGCCACAGTGGTCCATGTCCATGGGTCATTCACGCATATTCTATGAAAGTAAAAAAAAATGCTCTATCTTACAGGGCTATTTATTTTATTGCTTATTTTGCTGTTACCTTTAATAATGTAAAGTGTGAGTAACAGCAGGAAAAAATAAAAGAGGAAGAAGAAGAATGGAGAAGCAGTAAGAATGATCTTCCCAATCGATGGATATCTGGCTTTGAAAGCGGTTTCAGAGAGGAGTGTGAACCCGTCTTGGAGCAGCAGCAGCAGCAGCAGCAGCAATACTTCAGGACCGGGACAGCCTCTATTACTCACGTGTGCGTGTTCGAGGGTATCATGCAGCATCCGTGCTTTATAATCACACCCCGCATGGCTTTGCACACACACAGAAAATACATACACAATACATGCACTCACCTGTTTCACACTGTGGAGTTCTTCTGTCAATTGTTTCCTTTGCCTTTCTGATTCAAATAATTTTTCCTGTATTTAAAAACCACTGAATTAATAACTTGTTAAGAATATCAATGAGTATCACTTTTAGGGCTTTGTTTCAAAGCTTATAAACGTCCCAAATGTCCAACTGCTACAATCTGAAAATATAGTTCCATCACTTTTCTGGTTTTCTATATACCATTTAAAAGTAATTAGCTATCTACAGTATAATTGTGATGAAAATGCATGTTCTGTTACTTTAATTAGCTGTTTTGTAAGGTCTCAAAATCGTAGGTCCAACAAAACTCAACGAGGATCAAAATGTGTAAAAATTAACTGAATTTTGGGTAATAACTATCATTGCCAAAGAGCTTCCAAATTAGAGAGCATTATTATTACAACTGGAAGTCTCTCTTACTATACTGAAGAAGACACATGAAACTGAGCTGAATAACATTGTCCTAATTTAGCTTATTCTTGGAAGATTATCCATAAAAATGAAGATACGACTGGTATAACTGAAATATGAAATGACAATTCTTAAGGTAGAATATTATACATGCCAGTCAAATATTATCACCTTTGAATTTAAAGTTAAGGAGCATATACCCTAAAATGTTCACTTTTAAATATATTATAAATAAATCTACATGTTACTGATCAAATCAGAAATACTAAGTATAATTTAAGAACCGTTTTACTACACACTTGAACAGAGGTATCGCTTGACAATTAAACTGAGTAGTAAATACTCATGGCAACACCGTAATGTTTGTGAGAAGTAGTCTGCTGTCTGGTGTGTTTTCAGCGCATTCGTGTCTACGGTAAAACGGAGGTGTATGGAGATGCACACACTACAGCAAGCTAACAAATCGGCCACCGACCAGGAGCCAAGAAACTGCTGCCTTCCAGGCTCTCTCTCCTGCTCCGGCAAGTCACCTTCACTCGTGCCCTAGTTTTTTGCATCTGTAAATGGAAAATATATCTATTTCCATTCAGCTTTGCAAAGCAGGAGCAATGTGAACTCTGCAGAAAGGCTTTAAGTTAAAGAAAGCCGACAGCACTTTTAAAATCATTCTCGCCAAATAATATCAGACATTGGCATCGAATTATCTTGGCTTCATTTTTATTTGTACCTTAAGTCAGACATAAAGATTAGAGACGTACAGCACAATGGTAAGCGATGAGAGACCACTTATACACTCTATGAATAACTTCCTTCAACAATGTCTATTTTTGTGTGTGTTTATAGTCCCAGTGGAAAAACTAAAAGTATCTCAAATAAAATATTTATTGCTTTGTATACTCTATTATATAGCTAAACAAGTGCTTCTCAGACAATAGATAGGTTTTGAGGTAAAGGAAATTTCAGATTATGTTACTTTAGATGTGTTCAGTTACATTTCATAAGCTTTAAATGTGAATTTAAAGCTTCTTCAGGAAAGCTTGTTTAAATATTACATGGATACAGTATTAAATTATAATTCTAATAACTAATGTTGATATTCATATATAAAAACGGAAATATATTACTAAATTTAGCAATGATAAACATTAAGGGAATGAAAAAGAGCTGAGAGCCTCTACAAATTCTAACGAACCGTAACATTTAATGGTTTATGCAGAGATAAATTATATAAGAATGCTATTGTAGCAAGATAACTAACAGTGGAGATATTTCCTAAGAGGATATGAGGAAACTATTGTCGATCTATTTTTAAAACTGAATTCATTTGTTTTTAAAACTAAATGTATAACACTTAATTGTTACACCAGAAATGTGGAAAGACAGTGGTTTCAAAGTTGTAATGAGAAGTACATAGGCCCTAGCTGGTGTGGCTCAGTGGACTGAGTGCTGGCATGTGAACTGAGAGATTGTCAGTTCAATTCCCAGTCAGGGCACATGCCTGGGTTGCGGGCTAGGTCCTTAGTTGGGGGAGTGAAAGAGGCAAACAATCAATGTTGCCCTCTCCCTCTCTCTCCCCCTTCCTCTCGCTCTAAAAATAAATAAATAAAATATTTTTAAACAAATAAAAAGAAAAATTGAGTGTAAAAAAACAAGTATATAATATATTCCCTTAGTAGTGGAATTATGCTTATATATATTCGGAAGAAATATGAATTGGTAAACCCTTCTGAAAGGGAATTTGGTAAAACATATACAATTTTATATGTCCTTATCCTTTGAAAAAAACAATTCAGTTTTAGAAATTTATTCAATTTGTACTTTTATAATTGTAAACTGTGCAAAGATACATCTACAAAGCTATTTATGATGAGATTTTTTTTTAGGATTTTATTTATTTATTTTTAGAGAGGGAAGGGAGGGAGAAAGGGAGAGAGAAAGAGAAACATCAATGTGCAGTTGCTGGGGGCTGCGGCCTGCAACCCAGGCATGTGCCCTGACTGGGAATCAAACCTGCGATGCTTCGGTTCACAGCCCACACTCAATCCACTGAGCTATGCCAGCCAGGGCTTGATGGGATTATTTTTAATAATGGAGAACTGAAAATATACTAACTATTCATCATTAAGAAACTGAATAAAGAACCTAGGAAAGATCCACATGACTGATGATAGGAGAGCCATTCAGAAGCATCTGGCATATCCGTGTACATTATCTGGAAAAGTAGCCCAAGATATAATACTAACAAAGAGGGGGAAAAACACAAGTTGTAAGAAAGTGTGCAATGTGTTAAATGATTTTGTAATAGTTAAAAATAGATATATGGTTCATGTTTTATATATATATATACACATATGCATTCATTTAAAAATATGATTGGCTATCTAGAGAAAATCTATGAAGGATAAACAAGATATGTTTAACAATGGCTTCTTCTAGAGACTAGAATTTAAAAACTAAAGTAGCAAGGAAATTTCTTTTTATGGATATAATTATTTTGCTTTAGTAAAAAGCAAATAAACAATAGAATCTCACTTATTTATGAAAATAATTAAAAATAATATTAACATACATTCCTATGTTGAATTAATGCTAAATCAGGTATTTATGTTGCTTTTATAAAAGATTTTAAAAGTATAATGGCCTTTTATAAAAATTAGGATGTAATTTTAATTTAATATTTTACTAAACACAGAATGAAAACATATACAGAAAATCAAAATCTTCAAGTATATTTGAGACATATTGTGTGCTTTTCCTTCCCTTAAATCACACTGCCCTAATTCCAAACGATGTCGGCAAAAGAAGATGCCCCTGAAGTACACCCGTGAGTGCGGGACAGAGTGAGGGGAAGTTCATTGGGAAATGAACTTGTCATGGTTTGCTTTGCTGGCTCCTTAGCCTTGCCTCCAACACGAGATAAAAAAGGGGTGAGGAGCCAAATCAGAAGGTCTGAGTAAAAACCACTGCTCACACTGAATCTTACGTGGATATGGTGAAATATAAAGTGTGTGGATTGAAAAATTAATGCTAAAGATCAACTGAAGAAGTAAGTCATTTGATATTAATATTCAACATTGACCAATATTAATACTAAGGTATTTGATAGTAACACTCTTTAATTAAAAATAACACTAGGCCCCAATACTTCTGAATTCAACGCAAGATATTGTTTTCTTTTTTTCTAAAGAAAGTGCGAGGAAGCTAAGTCGGAGATTACCTTAAGTGTATTCACTTCTTTCAAGGCATCATTCCTTTCACGTTTCAGCCTTTCCATTTCATCTGCTTCTAAGGAACCACAGGCGATAAGCTGTCAACATTGGAACATAAGGGAAAAATTATGCATTAGATGCTACCTATGAAAACTAACAAAAAAATCCTTTTTAACAAGGCTTAGGAGTCATTTGATTGGGCAAAGGAGAATGTTAAAGTAATCTAGGGGAACTTCAGTCATTTATGCTTAATCTTACATTGTTGTTACTTGTAACAGAATTTATGTGGTTATCAGGTATACATACTCTGTTGGCATCTTTATGATTCTTATATAACAACACAATTTTTCTTAAAAGTCCGAATCCCAAGACTGTTTATAATGTTAAAAAGACTTTATGAGCTATCGGCATAACTATTCCCTAAAGATGTATCCACTTCCCCAGTACACGGCCTCTAAGGCCAGCAAAACGCTGGGCACTATAGACCAGGACTATTCACATAAACCCAGCAAAGGAACTCAATTGATCATGTGTCTCGTTTTAACGAAACACAATGTGACATAATAGTCAAGTAAGTGGCTTAAGGAGGTTCCTGCACAGAAGCTGTCTTGAAGATAATATTAATAATTCATGCATAAGCAAATAACAACAACAAAAAATAGCAGAGCTGACAATCTCTTTTCCTTTTAACATGATCTCTTTGACAGTTAATTGCAAGGTAAAAAACGAAGACAATCTTATCAGAGATAAAAATCCAAGTTTAATTACAGTCATCTTCTATGTAGAAGTTATAACAGAACTAAAAATATAGAAAATATGATGATTTAAAGGATTAAGTAGAGAAAGTGACTGAATGCAGAGTAAAATATGATAATACAAATAACATCAACAATTGATTGGAAAGAGACTATGTGCAGATACCTTGCTAAGGACTCTATGTGTTCAATATTACATCCGTACATTGCTTCCATTTACAGACGCAGAAAAGGGCTCAGAAGGTTAGTGGTCTACCTAAGGTTGCACAGCTAACAAATGGTCATCCCAGGATTCTCACACAGGTCTTAGACTAATGTTACATTAGTTTGTGATTTTTACTAACTACTCAGCAAAAACCACGGTGAATTAATAAACTCAGAGGTGCTTTCCAAATCCTAGAGGGAGGGCCGTCCTTCACATCTGAGAAGAAATACTCTCCCTAGACATTATGGGTTCCTTTTGTTCTGACACGTTTGCTTTTGTGTATCTATAAGGCCACTGCCTATAGTTTACATGATCTCATATTCTTCATCTGTCTCTACTCTTTTGTCAGTACTCAACACGCACACTCAGAGAATCCCTTCTTATACTGTTTCAAATAGATTAGATTTTCAGATGTTAAAATATTTCCTAATGTGAGTTCCAAAGGGTATTAACTAGCTTTGTGCAGAAGCAAAGCTGGGAGGTGGTGATGTTGGTAGTAGAGGCATCTGATCATACAACAATTCACCGTCCTTTATACATTTGTTATTTTACATATGGACTCTCCTTTGTCCCCTCCCTAGACTCCCTACCACCAGTTTTATCCCCTCCCAAGATAACCAACACTGTTACAAGATTATTATTTCTATAATATCACTGTGATCATGTCATTGTTCTCCCCAGTGGCTCCTAACAGGCTATTAATAACGTACAACTTCTTAGTTTAATGTTTACCCTTTCAGGACTAACGTTTTTCACTGACCTGCGTGTACCAGATTATCTCATTTACAAAGTAGATCATTCTCTGCTCACCATTACATACATTTTGTTGTCGTTCATGCAGGTACTCATCACGCTCTGTTCACCCCCTGAGCAGATAAAATTCTATTTATCATTCCAAACTCCCTGAAATGGCCAAGTCTGTCATGAATATTCTCTGAATGTTCTAAACTTTCATTATTATGGCCTTATCACACAATGCCTTTTTAAATTAAAATTATTTGTATGCATCACTTTTCTTACACTATACCCTCAGTTCCTTGAGGGACAGGCTGGAGTTTTACTTACCCCTTTTCAATCAATTGCAGTTGATATCCAACCTTGTTTTGTGTTAGTTTCATGTGCACAGTGTGGTGGTTAGAGTTCCACCTGTTTAACAAGCACCAAAGCACCGTGCACAATGCCATGCATGTTGCAGCTGTCTGACATACACTTACTAGTTTACAGAGGAGCGTAGGTGAGGTGGCCAAGAAGAACTTACCGCTCCACACACTGGAAGTATCGTTTATATCACGACCCAGCATAAGTGAAGCACTGCTCACTCTTAACACATACAGTTGGCTTTGGTGCCATTCTATTGTACTTCCCGTGTTGAAATGATGGCTGCAATCCACCCAATTGGTTAAGCAAGAACCCAAATTGTGAAAAGTCTGCATTAGGGGATTTAGAGTGTTCTCTGTGTGATTTTAGGATAATCCATTTTTGGTACTTACTTACTGTGGTAAGGCCATCATACCAAGGTGCCTGCCGTCCTAAGTTTAGAAGATAGCTAAATGTAGGCTCTAACCTCGCTTTTTCTCTGTGCAACCTTATGCCACCACCAAGTGTAGCACTATGTAAATTTTTATGTAGCAATAATGATTAGAATCACAGTAAGATAATTATCTTTTTGATTCTAAATGCCATATTATTCCAAAATCAAAAGTTTTTTGTCTACTAAACAAAAGTAGACTGACTTAGAATGACTCAGCAAGTCTTCCTCCCTAAAAGATAGCATCTCAAGAAATCTTTTGAGTCAGACAAAATGATAAGCAAAAGAAGCTAGTTACAAGAACACATATTGTACGATTCCATTTATTATGAAGTTGAAGAACAGGTGAAAGTAATCTATGCTGATACAAATCAGAACAGTGGTTCTCTGTAAAGGTGGGAGACACAGCTGACTGGAAAGTTGACACAAAGGAGCCTTTTGAGTGGCGGTTGCACAAGAGACACATGCAGAAATTCCTCAAATTGTACATTTGAGATTTTGTACTGTACTGTGTGTCTATTATGCATCAGTAAAATATTGCTTAAAAATAAAGAAAAAGATAAGCCCCCCCAAAGAAACATGAGGGAGGGAGGGAAGGAAGGAGGGAAGGAAGGAGGGAAGGAAGGAAGGAAGGAAGGAAGGAAGGAAGGAAGGAAGGAAGGAAGGAAGGAAAGAAAGAGAGAGAGAAAGAAAGAGAAAGAAAGAGAGAAAGAAAAAGAGAGAGAAAGAAAGAGAGAAAGAGAGAAAGAAAGAAAGAGAGAAAGAGAGAGAAGGAAAGCCTGCCCGCCCCAAGACATGGATTACAAAGTCTGACTCTTGTTTGTGACAGGAGGTTGAGGGGGTGACCGGAGTGGAATTTCCCCACCGTCACAGACTATCAACATCCTCAACCACAGATCAAATGATAAACTTCAGATGAGGCATTATGTTGTTTTTAACTCAAAAATCAATCGGGAATTATACTATAAAAAATGAAATATTTTTTGTTTCTGGCGAAAGTTTCCGAGCTGCTTGACAAGCAGTGATTTTTATAGAACTTTCCAAGTCGTGATACATGACCCTTTGTTGACGTTTTAGACCAAATATTTCATGAAAAAGAAATAGTAGTGAATATTAAATAAGGATGCCATGATGTAGAAAAGGTGAGTAATGATTTGAGACTTCTGTTTGAATTCTACATGTGAGTGTGGTGAAGTAAAATGTATTCTTCCTATGGATTCCAGTGGGGAAAACTAAGGAAAGCCAACGTTTTGTGGGGGTATCATCTATGTGCTGAAAAGCATAATACAACCAAGGAAATCTTCTAAGTTAACACAACGTCCAACATTCCTCTCCGTGCTGCGCACACAGTGCGTCACTGGCACGCAGACACCCTTGCACAAGCACTGTCAGCACTCTGCTTTTGCTGCCGAAGCCCCACAGGCTGAGTGCATTCTTATCGGTCCTCAAATCACATTGGTAAGGGACACAGATTAGTAATTTGGCGCGCGAGTATTTCTTCGCTGCTGCGAAGCAGGCTTTGCGTGCTCACACAAAGTACTCTGAGTTCCCCACTTCTCTTACGTTCCCAGCCACACTGCCATCTCTGCCTCTGCTCTGCACACGTGGGCATGGGAGCTCTGAGAACCGTGAGCAGTGAGAAAACGACGCTCTGCTGCCAGTATGAAGTAGACAGACACACAACATCGACAACAGTGGGAGAAAATCTGCACTCTTACATCTTCAGTTTTCCCACCCTACAGGCTACAGAATCAGTTCTGATCAATCGGTGGCTCAATTCTGGGAGGTCTGGGTGACCGGAGTTTCCAAACAACCAGGTCTTTGGGAACTCTCGCTCACTGCTGGTGGGAGTGCAGTCATGTGCAGCCACTTTGGAAGACGGCTATAAGAAACAGTGAAAAATGACAAAAACTCCTCACCCGTGTCACATAACATTCACGATGTATGATTTAAGTACAAGCGAGACAATTCTTCAGGGCCTACTCTACCTGCGAGTCTAGAATGGTAGACATTTCAGGTGCACCGACATGGGCTTCATCCAACTGCAAGCGAAACAACTTTCTGGCAACCTGGACAAAATCTAAAATGGAACACATTTCGGTAAGAACATATTTAACTTCATCTAAATAAATCTTATCTTTTTCTATATTAAGTTGAAGCTATGTGTTAGAACTTAAAGCTTAAAACTTAACTTACTCAAATAAATTGCCTTAAAATAGTATTTAACTGAAGTGACAGGTAAATATATAAGTTCAAATAAAAAGAGATAAACTGGTTTTAATTTCCTCTAACTTTCCTGAAGTTAATAGTTAAGATAATAATAAATCAAATATACATCACAGGCATAACTATTCCTCTAACTTGTAAATTTCGAGTAGAACTTTTTCTGAAACATAGGAGAATATAAGACTTACAGTTTTTCTAGCTGGAAGAACCCAGGATTGAATAATAATGACAGTAGCAGCTAATGTTTCTGTAAAGCCTCTGTATGGTAGGCATGGTGCTTTGCAAGTTCAGCCTCAGGATTTTGTGAGGCGGGTCCTCTTATCGTCTCCATTTTACAGTTTGGGGCCAAGACAAGTGAACTGTCTAAAGTGCCCAAAGCCACTTGGCAAATAAGCAGCACAACAGGATTCCATTTAAGGTGTGATCAGAGACACGTGCTCTTGATTGTTACACAACATTGCTTCATGCAGTTGGAGCAAACGATGAGCTTCTTCAGACACGGAGTGTGACCCATTCACCTGTCCGCCCTCAAATGTTTTTGTTTTGACTACTGTATTTTTGATTTCCAAGGATTCTTTTAATGATCTCTGATTGTTCCTATTTTATGGCATCCTACTTTTATTTCATGGATGCCTTATCTTTGCTTATCTTATTGAAGGTGTTATTTATGGTTTATCCTGAAGTCCTCTTCTGCTTTCACAATATTTCCCTTTTTTGAGTTCCTTCTATTCTATTTGCCTGACAGTTGAGGGCTCTCTATGTGTTATGTTGGAGGATGTCTCCAAATATCTAATGACTCTTGGCTATGGGTTCATAGTTAAGAAGGATTAGGCACTAAAATGTTGATTGAAAATTTTGTGTGGATAACTTCCCTCATCAACTGGCATTTCCACTGCAGAGCAATTGGGTGGCCAAGCTGATATTTTTGTTCACCTTCTCCTGAGACGCCTACGACCTCTTGCCTATGGAATATAAACATGGCTGCCCATTTCCCTGAGCAGTCTGGGTGTGTGTTGTGTGTGGTAAGTCACCATACACTCCCCGCAAATATCTGGGCTGCAACTACAGGTCTAAACCTCTCTGGTTTAACTTCTTGAGAACATACTTATTTTCCTCTGCAGGTATAAAGGAGTGGTAGTTGCTGGATTGCTTGAGAGGGGGCACGGGACAGCACCTACAATTGCTCCGTATACAAACGTCCAACTTGCGGTTTCAATGTCCTGTCTGCACCCAGCTTTCAGAAGCACCCGATGCTCCCAGTCCTTTTCAGGGACAAATCAGCTGTTCCCCATTGTGATCCCCTCATTTCTTCAGCCTTCACCTGCCTCTGCTCACTAATTCACTTCTTTTCTGTCCTTGTACATTATGTTTTTAGTATACAAGCAATTCTGTTTCTTGGGTCTCATTGTTTGGAGGTGATTTTCAAGAGGAGAGGACAGCAAATATATCTTCTGTTTCATTACTTCAAACCAAGAAGTGAATTCCTTTTTTTAGCAAAAGAGGCACTTTTAAAAATTATACAATGTTACACCTACTCCATAAGAAAAAAATTAAATATGTAATGTTGTCAAGGATACAAAAATTGTTATAGTCCAATATTACTAGTGGCAGAACAAATAACATGTAAAAAAATCTCTGGAAAACAACTTATCAATACATATCAAAAGTCCAAACTGCTTTTGGGCATTCATCTTAAGAAAAAAGAAAACCAAATGCTATGATGTTAAATATAGAGTTATTTATAATATCAGCTACTGAAAAACCATCAAAATCCCCCAAAGTGAAAAAACTTAACATCACAGTGCATGAACATTATGCTACCTTTAATAGGAATAATCAATCATACAGCATCACAAAAATATTTACCATATCACATTAGCTAAAAAAAATTAAAATTTCACCATAATGCAATTAGCGCTTCTATATTTTGTACTTTTGTGTTACTACTAAAGCAATGGTCATGTAATAAATAAAAAATAAAAAATGTGATAGAATTACAGTATTTGAGAGACAAAAGATTCTGAGAAAGTTCTCCTTTCTGCTGACCTACTGTAATTCTAGCTGCATTTTCAGAGTACCGATTGAGGAGTAAGAAATAGATGTGGTCTTGTTTGTTTTCTCACTCCTTCTAGGAGGAGGAACTTTTAATGAAAATGAGTCACAGTAACTCTTCAAGCGAGTTTCAGTGATGACGTAACACAATGTGCCTAATATTACCTCCGAAAGACACTGTCCCCTTTGGGTCCGCTCGCACTTGCTGTCTCAGGGCTTGGTGCTGCTCCTCTGTGGGCTGAATACCAAGGTAATTTAGAGCCTGGAAGGAAAATGACTCACATCAAGCAATTTTCCAAATTTCCAAAGAATAAAACTTTTCATTAGAACTTCATTTTACAACCCCAGTGAAAAGAATCAATATCAGGAACAGTGATCAGAATTAGATGCCCAAAGAAAATCTGCTATTTATGGATTAATTTTCTACAAAATATTAGCTTCCTCATTCCACCACCACTTCAGTCACCGCCCCCCCCCGCCCCGCCCCGTAAGGCTAGTGCTTTAGCAGATTCTAAATTTAAAAGCATGGCCCTAGAACCAAAATTCAAACTATTTCCTGATTTAAAATACATGAAATATCAAAAGAAAAAGAGCAAGAAAACCCTATGAAGTCCAATTTAACATTAAGTTCTATAAGTAACACTCTAAAGCATGTATATTTTGTTAATGTCTTATACTTGAGATGAAAAATAAAGCCGATGAAAACTGAATTGAATACAAAGTATCCTAATTTTTTGGCTTGTTTATGAGCAGGCTTACATAAATAGTAAACTAAATGCTTTCTCTGGAAATCTTCTCTCTACCTTCTCCTGTGAGCAACCATTGCTGATTAAAGAAAAAAAAAATTGGAGACTGCTAATTGCATTGTAGTGTACATTCTCTCCTTGTTCTTTTGTAACAGAACCACAGTATTTAACTAGAAACACTGTCATCCAGGAAAAGATACCCCCCCAGCCCCTTGTGCAGCCCGATGAGGGCACAAGACTGTGCTGGATGCGGGGATGTAAGGCGAAGTGCTGCAAGGGACTTCAGGGAAGTCTTTCAGAAGTAGCCGTAGGCACTTCCTGTCCTTTTTCCATCTCTCTTTGGGCTTAGTTAAAAGAAACCAAAAAGGAAGATGAATGGAAGGAAGGGGGAAGAGAAAAAAAAAAAAGGGAGGGAGGGAGGGAGGGAGGGAGGGAGATTGGATGCTGGAATTCAAGTAGCCATTCTTTTATTTTTTTTACTATTTTATTTATTTATATATTTTAAATATTTTATTGATTGTGCTATTCCAGTTGTCCCATTACTCCCCCTCCATCCCCCTCCACCCTGCACACCCTCCCCCACCCACATTTTCCCCCTCTAGTTCATGTCCATGTGTCAAAAGTTCTTTAGCTTCTACATTTCCCATACTATTCTTGCCCTTCCCGTCTATTTTCTACCTATCATCTATGCTACTTATTCTCTGTACCTTTTTCCCCTCTCTCCTCCTCCCACTCCCCTGTTGCTAACCCTCCATGTGTTCTCCATTTCTGTGGGTCAGTTCCTGTTCTAGTTGTTTGCTTAGTTTTTTTTGTTTTAGGTGTGGTTGTTAATAATTGTGTTTGCTGTTATTTTACTATACATGTTTTTTATCTTCTTTTTCTTCGATAAGTCCCTTTAGCATTTCATATAATAAGGGCTTGGTGATGATGAACTCCTTTAACTTGACCTTATCTAAGGACTTTATCTGCCCTTCCATTCTAAAGGAAAGCTTTGCTGGATAGAGCAATCTTGGATATAGGTCCTTGTCTTTCATGACTTGGAATACTTCCTTCCAGCCCCTTCTTGCCTGTAAGGTCTCTTTTGAGAAATCAGCTGACAGTCTGATGGGAACTTCTTTGTAGGTTACTGTCTCCTTATCTCTTGCTGCTTCTAGGATTCTCTCCTTCATTTTTACCATGGCTAATGTAATTATGATGTGTCTTGGTGTGTTCCTTCTTGGATCCAACTTCTTTGGGACTCTCTGAGCTTCCTGGACTTCCTGGAAGTCTATTTCCTTTGCCAGATTGGGGAAGTTCTCCTTTATTATTTGTTCAAATAAGTTTTCAATCTGTTGCTCTTCCTCTTCTCCTTCTGGTACCCCTATAATTCGGATGTTGGAACGTTTAAAGATGTCCTGGAGGTTCCTAAGCCTCTCCTCATTTTTTTGAATTCTTATTTCTTTATTCTTTTCCGTGTGGTTGTTTCTTTCTTCCTTCTGATCCACTCCATTGATGGAAGACCCAGTTTCCTTTCCGTCACTGTTGGTTCCCTGTACATTTTCTTTATTTCACTTTTCATAGCCTTCATTTTTCCCTCTAATTTGCGCCCAAAATCAACCAATTCTGTGAGCATCCTGATCACCAGTGTTTTGAACTGTGTATCTGATAGGTTGGCTATCTCTTGGTCACTTAAAAGGATGGGTTCTGGGGCTTTCATTTGTTCTTCTGTTTGAGCCATCTCTCTTTTTTGGGGGGTCTTGTTGCACCTGTTATGTAGTGAGGAGTGGAGCCTTAGGTATTCACCAGGGCGGGGCAACCCAGTCGCTGGGTTGTGATGCTATATGTGGGGACGGGGTCTGAGAGGGAACAGTGGCGCTTGCTCCACTCTCTGCCGATTTCAGTCTCTTCCGCTGCTTCCCTCAAGCAAACTGGACCTTTCTGGTGCTGATTCCCATGTGGGTGGGCTTGTGCACCCCCTGGGACTTTCCAAGGACCTCTCCTGTGAGGCCGGAAATCTCTCCCTGCACCTCAACCCCCACAGATGTTTTCAATCAGTGCCCCAAGGCTCTATTTCCCAGTGCTGGGATCCTGGGTTGCACGCAGTGCCTTGCTTCACAATCACCGCCTCACTGGGTCTGCCAGTTGCCACCCCGTGCCCGGGGATTGCCAAGCGCCGCTTGCGTACCCAGGGTCTGCCTGCTGGGGTCTTAAACGCTAGGTTCCAATGCTTCAAGTAGCCATTCTGACTCCTGAGCACCCTCAATAAAGATGGTGGAGCATAAAGATGGTTGGAACAGGGACTCCAACACTGCAGGACCTCCATGCCAGCCCTGGATTACCTTCTTTTGGGTTTCTTTTTGGTGTGAGAGAAATAAATTTCTCATGGAGGCCACTGTTATTTTAGATTCTCCATTTATTTTCATATATAAATATATATATAGCAAAACTTAATCTTAACTAACACATAGGGCCTGACTGGATGACCTGTATTAACAGGTCCTATTTGTCAGGCAAAGGGATGACCAGACAAGATACAGCTACTACTGTGGTCTTTGGGCTGAGGGTAACATGTAAAGAAATATAATCGGTGCAACAGGTGCTTTAATGGAAGTGTGCACAGGATATACCGTGGCCAAAACAAACTGGTTAACGTATAGGCAGCAGGCGCAGTGAGAGAAGGAAGCAGGAGGAAGGGAGAACATCGGGAGAGATTCCTTCAAAAGCGATTCTGGAGCTTCATCTAGTACCGTTTGCCCACCCTGTCCACATCAGAGTCAGAAACACTCGGAATAATGGTTCTTAACTTCTGGTGTTCTTTGCCTTCGGTCATAAAAATGTTCCAGATTTTCCAGAAAATAAACATAAAGGCAAGAGATAGATACAAAGAACACCCATGTATTCACTATCATCAAATATTCGTGTTTGTTTGAAATTTATATACTTTAAAGCCATGAATGTCAATGGCTTAGTTGACAGCCCCTCCATTGTTCCTTAACAGGAACCACTACCCTAAGGTTGGTGTATCCTTCCCATCCCTGATGGGATTCCAGTACTACAGGTAACCCATAATAATACGTACTCTCGTGCAATTAAAATTTTACATGAATAGCACAGTACAAAAGGATAATTATTTTTATCTCAATGTTTTGATTTCACAATTGCTCAATATTGTTTGTAAAACTAGTTCAATTATTTTAACTTGAAATGGTATTCAGCTGTACGAATATATTATAATATATTATCCATCCCTTGATTGATGGGCTTTTATAATTACTCCAATATGGTTTTCATCAAGACATGATATATGTCTCCTTGTACAGATGTGTGAGAATTTCTCTACAGTGCATCCCTAGAAGAGGAAGTATAGAGTCATAGGGTTAATACAGTCAACTTTATTGGACACTGTAAAATAACTCTCCATATTGGTGGTACCAAGCAACTTACACACACCACTAGTATAAAAGCACTCATATTTTCTAGTCTTAACAGTATTTTGTGTTTTTGCACTTTAATTTTTGTCAATGGGTTGTATAGGAAATAGCGCACTGTGTGTGTTCATTGGCATTCCCCTAATTACAAGTGAGATTGAACTCCTTTTCCATGTTGATCAGCAATATTTTTGACTCACAAATTGCTTAGCAATATGCTTTACATTCTCATATGCAGTTGTAAGACACAGTTTTTGTTTGTGACTCCTAATTTGGCGGCACTCTTCCGACTGTGGAAACCCACAGTCTCTCCAGACGTTGCCAAGGCCCCCCGAGGCAGAAGCCCGCAGCCCTGTCCTGGACAGCCAGCACTCTGGCAGTGTGCACCGTCAGCGGCTGGGGCACAGCACTTCTGACTTTCTATGAGGGCAGCACCTACATATAAAATATAGATGCGTTTTGTATTTATGCAAAAATTAAACTGTACTATATACAGTGTTCTATGTTTTTAAAAACTATCAATATGTCACAGCTTTCTATTCTGTAAATTTTAGATCTGTGGCATGCTTTTTAGAATTGTTCTAATAGTATATTACAGCTTAGCATTTAATCATATTCATATCAGATTTTGAATTGAACAAAATATTGCAAAAGGCCCTTCTGAACTTCCCCCCAGAGGTAGCAACTGTCATACATTTGATTTAATACTCCCAAACATTTTATTGTGATATTTGATGTATACGAAAAACATGCACTGTATGCAATGAACACATATATGTTAAAGCAGAACAATACAATGAAACATCCGTGAATCCATTTAAGAATCACAAAACTGCCAATACTAAACTTTCAACACTGTTTATTTTAAAAGGGTTTGTCACATACATATGTACACCTCCAACCTATTTTGTTTTGCTGTTTATTAGCTTCATAAAAATACTGTAGATAGTCTTTGGAAACTTGCCTTTTCCATCCTGCAGTATGGTTTCATCATTCACTCATGTGGTTATATGCTATTGTAACAGTAATGAATTCGCTTTGACAAATATAATATTTAATTAGGTTAATAGGCCACAATGTATTCATCCATGCTCCTGTAGATGGACATT